GATTGTGGCTGCAGCTCTTGAGAAGGGACCTTAATTCAACAACAACCTTAATTCAACAACCACACCACTGCCACATCAACACCAACTGACAGCACAGCATTGATTTGCGTGCAACTTCACTTGCGTCATACTTAATTGGAAATTAGTAGCATGCAGGTGGAGGGCAAACTCACGATGATAAGCAACTATGGTTGAGATGTGTTCTTGGATATCGAAGTCGGGTTGCGGTGGGTATGGCATCGTGTCATTGTTTATGATGCCGATAATGTGCTGCTTCTCAATGGCAGGGTCGGTGAGGAGGTACGTCGCGAAGACCAGTACCCACAGAAATATGCCCTGAAGGCAAAACACAAGGCCTCTTCCATTGCTGCAAGTAGCACTTCCCTCCCACATCCGCAGAAGTGCCTACAAAAGTGAGTACGTCGCCGAGGATAATGAAAATGCGCACAACGATGACGTTTCTCTTGAACCACAGCAGGGAGACGGAGTAGCCGCGTTTCATCTCCCTCATCAGGCAAAGACAATTGCTGATTTCGTCTTCTTCGGCTGCGTTGACTTTGTCCTCCACCCAACGTTCATTCCACTCCGTTGGATGAATGTGAGTCTCGCCTCCTGGAGGAAGAATGCACCCAATGCTGACGCGAGTGTACTGTCGCCCACATGGCACTGGGAGGGGTGTTGCAGTAAGTCACTCTTCAGGACCACGAATGTGGCAGTTTGGTTGGTGAAAGCAACTCCAACCAACTCTTAAACCTTTTAGCACCAAGTTGCCTTCCCCCTAGACACTGTGGATAGTGAAGCAGGATGTTGATTTGTTAGGCGAAGACGGTGGCATGCGTGACATGCGTTTTCTCGTGAGTCGCCATCCCTCCACAAGACCATCAGCCTTAGGTGATGCCGCTTGCTTGAAAGTGGGTGCCTCTCAAACACTCCTACCATTACTGCCAACCACAAACTTTCCTCCATCATTTATGCGCCCTTTAAACCGATTCAACGCAAACTACTCACCTCAGCATTGCCACCAAATGATTGGGTTGACTAAGCACTCAAATTGTGGAAAAAAAGGAAAAGAATAGGTGGAGGGGGAGGAGGAGGGGGAGAAGGTGTCGCAGCAAAGACCACCGGCATGCTCTGCTTGCACTCAGCGCAAACGCATGTCACTTACGGCCACCTGAAAATGGTCTATGCGAATGCAGTCACGGTGACCGAGACATTTCATCAAATCAAATAAATGCGGTTTCAGCTTATGATGCAAAATAATTAGTTCGTGGAACACTTGTTGAGGGGTGCAGAAACACAGGAATGCAACAATAACCGTGATGACATCGTTACCACCTCTCAGACGACGTAGGTTGGCAAGAAATCTCCGGTACAGTGGTGACGGCGATCCTCTGACTGACACCTCGTGACCAACTTCACTTTCATCTTTGCCGATCGAAGCATCCTTTCCTCGTCCAAGCCCCGCCACCATAGTTGAGGTAAATGCAATCATTGGAAGGCAAGAGGAAGAGCTGACATCACACAACCATAAACTTCACAGCTGATTGGCTGATCAACGCAGAAGGCGATTGGCTGATTGCAAATTATTGATTTGCCTGCAGTTAACGAGCTAAATTGCAGTGCACAATGAGAAGTCACTACTTCCAAGAGGTGGAGGTGAGGCTAGCGACAGGAGGTGACTCACTCCTGCTTCGCGAAATCTGTGAGCGCACCACAATCGGATTAAAAATGCATACCATTTGAGGAGGTTTGCGATCTATGCTAATAATTAACTACGACTCGTTGTAACTGTCTACTTGTGTTATGATAGTGCAAACAGTTGCCAATTTGTCGCAACCATTTGCAGTTGTTGCCTTTTTGCTCGCGACCGTGACTGCATATACGCCCAGCGAGAGGAGCACCACAGTGCCACGTGGTATGAAAGTTGCTTCAACTAGTTTGACTATGCACTGTCAGTAATTAAAAGGCAAGCAGTCTGTAGTAGGCTTAACCGGATGTCAGAGCAGATGATGGCAGCACCATGACGTTGTCACCACACAGATCTCCTCTACGTTGTGTCGTCTGCAAATGTGAAGTAGACGTGCACAGCATCGTAAAAGATGCATTCAAAACAGTTTGCAGAGGAGCACGCTCGCGAGGTGGATGGCGCGGTGTGTTAGCCACAGCTTCATCTCTGCATTTTGACAGTTGGGTCACAACGATGGTCTCTCGGTTGCACGCATTTCGTGGGAAGTAGAAAATTTGGTCACGGATATTGTGGCTAATGCGTGCGGAGGTGAGCCTTAGTGGAGTGCGAGGTGATTCCATGCAGTCTATTGCGCAGCTAATTGCAGAGAGGCGCTTTGTCGGTGAACACGCTGTGTCCCGAGCACTGCCGAATCCTTCGTTTTCAGGAGTGTTCTTCGTGCATGATGAAGCTGGTGGTGACCTCAAACTCACACAAGCTCGGCGTTCGATGGCACGTATACAATGTGACTGGGAAAACAACAACCTTATTTGTGATGCAGAATCCCTTACGAACTCTCATATAAGTCGAGTTGGTTGTTTGTTTCAAATATTACAAACCGTATGATACAAATAAAATGTTCGCTTTCCATCACCATATGTTGGAATCTTTACGACGGCATATGCCATACTTGTTGCCCACAATTCCTAGACAGATGTATGGAGGGCAACAGCGGTATTGACCACGTATTTCACACCACATGTCAAACGAACGGCACGTCGGTATATCTGTATAACAGCACATTGCAATGCCTAGAATGGAAAATAATATGCAATTAAAGGTGCTTAAAGGCGTCACATTTCTACGTAGACAGCACAGGGCACAGATTTCTATAATTGCAAACTTAAGTTGAATGATTGCTTTGAGCACTCACCATGGTCCAGTCACCTCCACCCTATCCTGACAATCATCGGTCCACCTTACTAAGGGGATCAAGGCGATAGCAACGACGTGAAAAAATGTTAGGTTTCACTAAGTCAAACACAACTGAGGCAAAAGTCTGCGTTAAGAAGCAACTCTACGCCGTTGCCTAATCCAAGAAGGAGAGGTGCATT